ATCTGAAGGAAGGAGTGATTAATTTTGCCTAACATGTTTTGGCAAGCTGCAACAAGACGGTGACATCTGAGCTGGGTGTAGACAGCTAAGAGAGAATTGGAGGAGAGCTATTTTAGATAGCAGAAACAACAAAGTTTCAAAGGTATCAAAGAGTATGGTTGTTTGAGGATAACGACTAGGTACAGTGAGGGCAATGCGTGGGTGGATATAGGGTGAGGAAGAGATGTGGTGGGGCCAGAGGTACAGGGTCATGATTCTGCAGATGAGATAGGAGATCCCCCTCCCCCCCTTCTTAAGAAAAGTTATTTTTAAAATTATAATTGACAGACAATATTATATTACTTTCTGGTATACAGCATAGTGATTAGACATTTATATATGTTAGAAGGTGAATTAGACATATATATATAATTAATCCTATCTAATAAAGAGGGAATATGCTAATTGACTGTCACATCCTTACCAAGATGGCAGTGCCCACAGCCAATAAGGAGGGAATACACTAATTGACCCACCCACCCTCAAAGATGGCGGCGCCCACAGCCACAAGATGGCGGTGTCCAATCCCCTCAGCCCCGCAAGGGTGGCAGGCGGGTACCTGCTCAGGAGTCCCCCAGTCCTCTTAGCCCCACAACTGTCCAGGGCCAGTCCGAGGCACCAGTAAGCCTCAGATGGCGGCTGCCCGGCTGCCCAGGGCCGTTTGAGGCTCAGGTAACCCCAAGGGCCAGCCTATGCTTGTGCTGCCCACAAGCAGCAGCAGAGGTGGGTTGGGGGTGTCGCCTCCCCCTGATCGCCAGGTCGCCTCCAGCCACTAAGGGCTCCTAGACTGTGAAAGGGGACAGGCCGGGCTAAGGGACCCGTCCTGCAGTGCATGAATTTTCATGCACTGGGCCTCTAGTTACATATAATAGTGATTAGATATTTATATATTTTATAGAGAAACAGGAGATTACTAATTGGGGGCTAATACAACCAGAACTTTCTAACACAAAGCTTCCTCTGGCTGGGGTAGACATAAGGACACTAAACTGATCAGCCCACTTTATGTTAACCCCGCTCATTCCTACAGGGCAGAGCCATCCCAGCCATCTGGCGGTCATCACTGATGTCACATAACTCTAGGAAAAGTTCAGAAAAGAGACCACCCAAGGACATCTGTATTCTTGCAATGACACTTTCCTCTTTGTAGGTGTTGAGGGACTTGTGATAGACTTTCCTCTTCTCAGCGTATCGGGTCAGACTAAGCTGAACCCAAAGTTGGTTATCTGGAAGCCAGGGTCTCTATCTGACATCTTCAAAGACAGAATTGAAGCAGTGTGTGTGTGTGTGTGTGTGTGTGTGTGTGTGTGTGTGTGTACCATGGCCCTCTTCCCTGGAAACTTGGGACCTCCCCCACATGGACATGGGCGGACCTGGATTTGAAGCTAACTCCTCATCTCTGTGTGACTTCAGGAGACATGAACCTCTCTATCAACTTTATTATCTGAAAAACACCTCACAGGTTGTTCTGATTAAGTAACAGCATTTAAATGTAGATCTTCCCTTGACTCTAGAGACCGCTGAATTTACAATATTGTGGTTGATATATTCTCAGGGTCAGGTACCCCGGGCCTTCATGTGCCACACTCTTCAGGCTTTGCTTGCCCGGAGCCCAAGAACATGCAAAGGAGTTTACCTCAAGCTGCTGAAAGTCCTTCTTTGGCACTTTTCCTCTAGGCCCCTTTGATTTAATGGCACTTAAGCCAGCAGAAGTGTGGCAAAGGTCAAAATTGTGTCACAGTTGATCCCTCTGCATGGGATGTCACTTGTGGTACAAGCTCCCAAGAATTGCTGATGACAGCTTTATAAGTTGGATTATTTTAAATGAAGGGGAGTTTATTGTTTAAAAGGGTTATGTGGCCAATTCTTTATCTATATATTATTGATTTCAAAGAGGAAGGGAGAGGGAGAGAGATAGAAACATCAATAATGAAAGAGAATCATTAATTGGCTGCCTTCTGCATGCCCCCTACTAGGTGGGCATGGGGGGGGAAGGGGGTTAGTGCCTACAACCTGAGCAGGTGCCCTTGGCCAGAATCAAACCTGGGACCCTTTAGTCTGCAGGCCGATGATCTATCCACTGAGCCAAACCAGCTAGGGCCCAATCCTTTTTAAGAGTAATTCTCTTGAATTGTAAATTTTTTCCTGATCTGGACATTGAGATTTTCAGTAGAGGATGTGTTCACTTATGAATGAATACAGGTGTGCTGAGATGCACAGTTTGTGGTTAAAGTCAGAATACACCTCTAATTAATTTTTCTAAGTTGATTTAAAAAAAACAACAAGTAAAAACCTTTTTGTGAATCAATTTGTCTAACAAACATTTGCTGAGAATCCACCTGTGCCAACTCTGAAGGTACCATGAAGAAGGGGGCATGCTTCCTGCCTCCAAGGACCTCACAGTCTAGGGGCAAAGACAGGCAGGTACATAGCTCCCTATAGCATAGCATCCCAGTGCCATGCATTGTGTAAAATATGATTAATTCTAACCTGTTCATGTCTAATCAAGATCCTGGGCTATCTGGCTTCCCCTTCTACAAACTTGTCCTCAGTGGGATCCAGGTCTATTATGAAAATCACACAATATCATTCCGAACCATAAATGACACTGTCAGTTTGATACAAAATCTAGTCAGGTGAAATACTTCAGATTCTCCCACCAACCTGTGTCACTATATTGACAAAAGCTCTAATTATTTCATTTTCCTCTCCAATTTTGTTCTCGGAATGACTTTGCACAACAATGTGCTGGCCTTAATTCCTCTGATCCTGCCAGGTCTGGGGTTGTGGTGGGTGGTGTTCAATGGGGGTAGGGGCAGCTGAAGCATTCAAAAGTCAAGGCAAAGCTCGTGATTTGGTTTCATAAGAAACCATGAGTCTAAGCTGATGGTTAACATACCTCAGCACAGAAAACTTTTTGAGAACTAGAATTTATTTTGAAGGAGTGGAATTAAGGAAATGAAAAAATGACATTGGGAGGCTTAAGGACAAAAGGGTCTTTGGATGGAAGTTACAGAAAGGGGTTTTGGAATAAAAACAATGAAGAGTTTATTATAGTTAGATCCATCTAATACTTGGGGATTTAGGCCTCTGGTGTGGACAGAGACAAAGCAGTGGTGTGATGACAGTCATGGTTCATCAACCACGTGGAAGGTTAAATGAGGTGAACTCACAGCTCTTTGTGCTGAACCTAAATCCTGGCTCTGCTTTCAGCTCATGGAACAAACCAAATCTGAGCCAGCAACACTGCCTCACCTGGACTCTGTATTATCATTGCTAAGTTGGAAAGAGGAAGCAATTATCAGAGCCCCCTCTGACCACTGTGAGTGAACCCCAGACTCACAGCCTTGTGGCTCAAAGATGAGTGAGCACAGTCTTGGGAGTTGGGCCTTTAGATCCATCAACTCTATCTGATGACTTGGAAGTTCCTTCAATCCCCAATATTGAAGACCAGCAAGACTGGTTTGTCTTGTTCTAATTATTATTTAGATGACTATTTGGCTCATTCTTGAGCAAAGCTTGAATCAAGTCAGACCTGTTAATTGAATCAAGATTATATAATCATATTTGGGCATTTAAATGCAAACCAATTACGTTGGAGACTAAACATCTTATACACAAGGAGGGAGTTTTGGTGTTTGGAATGTACTAGAATGCTAATACACAAAGCCTAACCTTTAAAGTGGAGGGTGGAGCACTCCAGGGCACTCCTGTTTCGATGAAGTTGTTGTAATGGTGATTGCTCTGGGCACATTCTGGGAAGATGATGGAAACAACTCAAGTGAGAATGACACCGATGTTACCCCAGTTCATTGAACACATTACATTTGGAACACGTCTCTTTGTAGCATTTGGCTTGGTTTATAAAGGCATTATCAGAATCTGTAGGAGGCATTTGCAAGGAGGGCTCCCTTGACTTTCCTGGTTATCATGATTCCCTCCTCCTTTCCCTTGACAAACATATGCCACAGGCCATGAGTAGTCATTTAATGCTTCACTTGGACCTCTTTCTAGTTTCCAGTCTTAGCTCCAATGGCTCAATTCTTGCACTACAAAGTGAGGAAAGCAGGCAGGAGGCACTGGAGAAGTCACTGAGGAGTTGATATGGGGACTAGCAACATAACGCAACGTCTCAGGAACAAGGCACCAGACTCAGGTTTGATACTTGTCCCTAAAATCTCTAAGACCCACCTAGGCTGCCCAGCTTCAGGGGGCCACTAGCCTGCAGGCTCTCTGTATATTCTGCCATCACTGCTTGGAAGGTGACAGACCAAATGCTCAGTCTCTGTCTGTATTGAGAACTGAACTAGGCTTTGTAGAGATATCCCAGCCTGAAAAACAACCAGATGGCATTGCTGGAGATGGTGTGATCCCAGAGAAAGCACGTTCTGTTCTCACACTTTGTCTCTGTCTCTGACATGAGGTCATTAGGCACCTCTGAAAACATTCTAGGGAAGAGTTTCATCTTCAGCACCATCCTGTCTAGGGAAGTCTTGCAAACTCAGAATTTCAAAAGTCAGGGAGGGGCAGCTAACTGGAGGTGGGATCCTTGGGATACGTTTCATTGTAAACACGTGGCTGAAATGTGTCACAGGTGGGCAGGCACTCTAGTGTGCCCTAAACACAGCCTCTGGACAAAGGTCACTGACTTCATCAAGGCCAAATGAAACAGCAGGCTGGTTTTCTTTAAATAGGCTTACTTAGATCCACCGAGGACTAACCTTAAGCTTGATCTTCTATTACTTTTCTCAATCTTCTTCTCCTTCTTCTCCTTCTTTCCTTCTTCTTCTCCTTCTCCTCCTCCTCCTCCTCCTCCTCCTCTCTCCTCCTCCTCCTCCTCCTCCTCTTCTTCTTCTCCTTCTCCTTCTTCTCCTTCTTCTTCTTCTTCTTCTTCTTCTTCTTCTTCTTCTTCTTCTTCTTCTTCTTCTTCTTTCTTCTTCTTCTTCTTCTTCTGCCAGTACGTCTATTAAATGAGTCTATCTCAAACTGAAGGCATAGCTTTTGAAGGTTAACTGTGAAGCTCATGTTTGTCCAGGTCAGACTTTCAGCCCCTTCCTCCCAGGGCATCTGTGACACAGGTAAGCCCATGACATCAGGCAGGGCTGGCAGGAATGTTACATTGAGATGGGAATGTGGGTATTAGCACATTAGAATAATCTGAGAAACCATTCCAAACCAATCCTTACTTATACCCTGGGCACTCAACCCTTTAGAAACAATCAAGATAAGAACAACAGTCTCACCTCTGAGAGGGAAGTACGGGGTAAAGGCCCCACCTGCTGTGAGCTCTGGTACACAAGAGGATGCCTCAGCTGGGCCCAGCTCATTCTCTTGATTGGCTTCCATAAACACCACTCTGGAGACCAGGGTGTGCAAAGGGGGAAAGAAAGCGCCATCCCTGCCCTGAGCTCTGGGATGGTGGCTGTAAGCCCTCAGGAGGCCTGCGGAACTGAGTGGTGGAGAGAAAAAAACCCCCCACAAAGCTGGAGGGCTTACACCACCTGATATCAATACTCATTATGAAGCTACTGTAATCATGATAAAGTGTTATTTAGGCAAGGTTACACAAGTGGATCAATTGAACAGAACAGAGAGTACAGAGATACAGCCATGCATACACATTTTATTGGTTTTAAACAAAGGCATCATGGATTTTCAATGGGGGAAGAAAAACCTTTTCAATAAATGGTTCTGGAAATAACTGGATAAACTAAACTGGATAAAATGAATCTCAATCACTATTTCATACCACTCATACATTTTAATTTAAGATGGAACCTAGATGTTTATGTAAAAGCCAAAATTCTAATTGAGCTTCAAAAGAAAACTTAAAAGAATATCTTCCCGGGTTTAAGCAAAATTTTCTTAGATGGGACATGGAAAACAATAGTTATAAAAGAAAAAAGAAAGATAAATTAGACTTCATAAAATTTAAATCTTCTGCATATTAAAGGGAACCATTAAGAAAATAAATAGGCAAGCTACAGATTAGGAAAAATATTCACAATGCATGTATCTGACAAAAGATTTATTTTCAGAATATATGGAGAATTCTCATAGATCAATAACAAAGATAAACAACCCAATTTTTAAAAGATGGGCAAAATATTTAAACAGACAATTTATCAGAGAAGATATATGAATGGCAAATGAATACATGAAAAGGTGCTCAATAAAACTAGTCATCAGGGAAAGACACATTAAAATCACAATGTGATACCAAATCAAACCCACTCAATCGGCTAAAGTTAAAAGTCCCCAATGTTGGTGAGGATGTGGACCAATGTGATTTTTCTTACATCACTGGCTGTAAAAAATTGTACATTGAAAAACCATTTAATAATCTCTCTATATAAAACCTAAGCAACCGTAATGACCAAACAACCGGAATGACCAGTTGACTAGTCACTATGATGCACACTGACCACCAGGGGGCAGTGTGCTCCCTCAGCCACCCCCCTCCCCCTACTTCTCCCCCTGCCTGCTGCCCTACCTCCCCTGATCATCAGGGAGCCAGCCAACCAACCTCCTGCAGTCCCTCCTCCCAGTTGGCCAGCCCCCCAATAGGCCTCAATCACAGGCCACACCAAAAGACCCCACCAGTGCATGAATTCATGCACTGGGCTTCTAGTCTTTCATAAAATTAAACATAAACCTACTGTTATTGATTGAATATCTGTGTCTCCCAAAATTCATATTTTGAAAATCCCTAGTGTGTTGGTATAGGGAGGTGGAGCTCTGGGGAGGTGATAAAGTCATAAGGGTGGAGTCCTCATGAATGGGATTAGTGCCCTTATAAAAGAGATCCCAGAGAATTCCCACACCCCTTCCACAGTGAGAAGATAACCATCTGTAAACAGGTATCATGTCTTTACCAGACACTAAATCTGGTGACTTGATCCTAGCTTCCAGAACTGTGGGAAATAAGTTTCTGTTGTTTATGAGCTACTACTCAGTCTATGTATTCTATTATAGCAGCTAGAATGGACTGAGATCCCTAACCTATGAAAAGCCATAAGTTCCAGAGAATTAATACCCTCCATTTCCCAGGCCACAGAGCACCCCTCCACCACAGCTACTCAGATGGGACAACTTTGAGGTGACTGTCCTACTAGACTTCAGAGTTGTCCAGTGGGATTCAGCTCCAGCTGTGCTTGAAAAGTCCCCTTCATGGATGTTTCTGACTCTAGACTTCTTCTTGAGTTTGGTTGGTCTCCTCTAACAATGGTACACAGGGAAACTAAGGGTTTTCTTGTGTCCGTGTAAGCCAACACGAATACAAGTGGACCTTTCAACCATGGATCACACTACCAAAAAGTGGAGGTCCCCGTGTAGGTTCCACACCATCACAACATTCATCTGAGCACCCAGCATGGTGCCAGGCCTGGGGAGACAATGTTTGTGGAATGCTTAAATGTGGATAATGACATGCCATTGAGAAGTATTAGCACTTTGGGGAGATTTTTCTCTGCAGGTTCATGCTTTAAGCATAGCCAGGCCAATGCCCTCAAGAGTGATCTTTTCTCCTGGTCCACACACCAGAAAGAACTAAATTGTTGGGTGTGTATAAAAAGACTTGAGTGTTATGACTGGGTATAGCCACCTTAAGAAAGCTTTGTGGTCATGTGAATGAAAAGTCATAAAAATGTACTCTCACTCCTGAAAATTCACCCCAAAGAAAAATCTCATATAAAGGAGATAATTACAATGATGGGAATGAGAAAAGAATTTGGGTGGGGATGAGAGATTCCTTAACATAACACAGAAGAGCAGACTCAGTTCTCCTTGGACCTTCTGTGATGTTCAGCCTGAGAAAGGGGAAGATCGTGTTTGGACACTGCAGAGGAGATGGCAGAGAGTGGAGTGGGGCTGGAGTGGTCAGGGCAAGCCAAGCATCCTATGTTGGAATTTTCTTCTATGACAGCTCAAATCCTCACTTTATAAATACACTTTCAAATTAAAGTAGAATGCATAATAAACTGCACAAACATGAGATAAAAGTAAACACACCTGTGTCACCATCTCTCAGATCAAGCTATAGGACATTACCTGAACCCCAAAGCTGCTCTTGCTCCCTTCCCAGTAATCTCCCCCTCAGGTAACTACTATTCTGACACCTATGACCACAGATTAGTTTTGCCTGTTTGAGAACTTTATGTAAGGAGACCATAGAGTTTGTACCGTTTTATGTCTAATGTCTTCCACCCAACATTAGGACCTTGAGCTCCATCCATGTTGTTGTGGGACCAATGGTTTGTTCTTTTTTGTTGTTGTCTAGTATTCCACCAAATGATTATTTATGTAGCCAAGACTTCGTTTAAGTTAGTCCTTTACTGGTTTGAGGTGAACAGATGAGAAGTACCTAAAGAGTGTGGAGGCAGAGAGAAGCTTAAGGAAATTCATTGTTAGGAGCTCACAGGATTGTAGGAGATGTTTTGAACTCTCAGGGTCCTTGAATCAAACTCTTGGGGAAACTTCAGCTAACTCTCCGAGGACAAGGGATGGCTCTGGGATACAGTAACTATGTGGCAGGCACTCTGTTAAGCATCCAAAACTCTTCACATCAATGAATCCTCATAATGACTCCTCTTGGTATTAATGGCCCATTTTAAAGATGAGAAAACTGAGGGTTTGTGAGGCAAATAACTTTCCCAACAACTGCAATGGATATGTAGAAATATGAGGAAGTATAATTAGAAGTGGAAAAAAATTGAATAAATGTGTAGATAAACTGATTATGAATACAAAGACCAGAAGGGATGGCTATATGAAAAATTTTTTAAGTTGTTAAAGATTAGTGAAGTTATAAGGGCTTAAAAAAGTCTTCCACTATTATATTAATTTTTTAATGAAAAAGTGATTTGAGAAAAGCACTTTAAATCCTTCTTTGTACCTCCCAAACCACCATGATCAATCCTTTAACTCAGTTTGGCCTCCTCACACTTTCTCTTTCTCAGATCAGATTAGATTGCCTATCTAGTTTCTCCCGCAATCTTACTTTCTCCACATATACACACGCCCTGTTTTTGCGAGATGAGGTCTCTTTGTGGAGTGTCAGCTCTTTGCTTAGGAAGCCTTGCTCTGGTTTGATAATTTTCTGCTGTGTGCTCGTAAAAATGACTAGGGCACTTATGGTTCTACATAAGTAAAAACAGTGCTACCTAGTTGTCTGGGAGATGGGTCCCTCCTCACCTCCAGCCTGTGGGTCTGGTTTGTGCAGCCTGTGCACTAGTCTCCAGAAAGCTCCAACCGCACAGAGATTGGCCCTTGGCATGTCCAAGCTGCAGGCAGCAGCGTCTGAGGTGGGGGCAGGTGGCTGTGCTGCTGGCATCCCTCTGCTCTCCAGGTTGACTTTGCCCACTGTATCATTACAGGTATCCATCCAGCTTTTTCCTTAAGACCCTAGATAACAGAGGCTTACACCAAGCAGAAGTGGATGTCCTTCTCCTCTAAGCTGTCCAGGACTGATAGAGGGGCTCCCTCCTGTCAGCAACCCAGGTTCCCCTTCTATTTTGGTTGCTTTGCTGAATTTCAGGTGTTGCCTTCATCTGTTTTCTCCAAGATGGTTCACCACCATCTTGTATGGGAGAAAGGAGTAGGGAGAGCACAGCCCACCCTTTAACATCCTGACCAGGCATTGCCCCCATCAACCCTGGCATAAGGGGTAGGACGCATTGGGGGGGCCACAGAAAGCAGTAGTTAAGCATGTGGACTTTGGGCCAGACCACTTGGGTTTAAATTCTGGTTCTACCACTTACCAGCTCATTAACCTCAGATAAATTTTCAGCCATTTCATGCCTCTGTTTCTTTACTTGTACAGTGGGGATGATGATGAATAGCATTATCTCCTAATCATTGCTGAGGCTTAAATGGGCTACTATGTAAAAACGGGAGGCTTTACATTTACATATCAATTAAATTTATATGTTGTATATAAGTTTATATATTAGATGTAAAACATAAATGGGCTATTATGTGGAAAGTGCTAAGAGCAGTGTCTGCCATACAATGGGTACCATATATACATATATATATGTGTGTATGTGTGTGTGTGTGTATATATGTGTGTGTATTATACTAATTATACTAATATATATATATATATATATATATATATATATATATATATATACACTAGTATAATTATTATGGAAGCTTTTGGTGCAACATGAAGTGGTGGTGATAGCGGTAGTGATGGTGGTATGGTAATGATGTTGATGGTGATGGTGATGACTACGGTAGTGGTGATGGTGCTAGTGTTGCTGGTGAAGGCAGTGATAGTGATGCTGTGGTGTGACTACTATAAGAGCTTATGAAGACCAGATTACAGAGAAGTGAGGAGTCCTATCTCCCTGACACCTGGCCTTGTACTCCAGTGTTGAGCTCATTTGGAGCTCCCAGTGCACTGTGGAGGTGCCTACTGGTGATGAGCCCCACCTGGACTACAGCAGATCCTGGTACAGAGCCATGCCAGGGCTGATGCTGCCAGTTCCTGGGCAAAATGACCTCAGTGTGGGCCAAATGAAACCACTTCTAATTCAAGGGAGATGTCACCAACTCTCTTTAGGGTGCAATATGACATAAGATGTTCCTGTTCTTGCCCTTTGCTTTCTGCAACATGGTGGGGTAAGAGGTCTCTGGGTGGGGTTCCAGAAAAGGATGAAAGAGCAATTGTATTCTTTCATGGTTACCAACATCATTTCAATGCTGAGGATTCCCAAATTTATAAATCCAGCCCTTAACTCCCCCAAACTCCAGGTTAAGCCTGACTCCAACTTTCCTGGCTGTCTAAGAGTAAGCTCAAATATATCACAGCCAAAAACAAACACCACCAAAAAGAAAACAAACAAACAAACAACAGCTTGCCGAAACCGGTTTGGCTCAATGGATAGAGCGTCGGCTTGGAGACTGAAAGGTCCCGGGTTCGATTCCGGTCAAGGGCATGTACCTTGGTTGCGGGCATATCCCCAGTAGGGGGTGTGCAAGAGGCAGCTGATCAATGACTCTCTCTCATCGATGTTTCTAACTCTCTATCTCTCTCCCTTCCTCTCTGTACAAAATCAATAAAATATGTTTAAAACAAACAAACAAACAAACAAAAACACCTTATCTCCCCCAACCCATTCTCACTGCCCCGGTGGTCTCCCTCCCAGACCTCCCCCTCCTGAGTCAATGGCACTCTCATTCACTCATTTGCTCAGGCCAAACATCTCGGAATCATCGTTGGTTCCTTCCTCCCTCCCCCTCACTCCTCTACACCCGAACCATTAGCAAGGCTTTTGGGTTCTACTTATCAAATACCATACTTCACATCAATTCTAAGATACATGATAATATCTATGAATTCAGAATGTATCATGCATTCAATCGCATGCCGTAGTTTAATTAACGGCATTTTTCTTCCTTAGTAAAATCTGACTGCCTCCACTGACAGTCTGGTCCAACCCACCCCATATCATTGCAGGGCCTTCCTGACTTACCCCCCTGTTTCTGTCTGGCTCCACTTCAGTCTACTCAGCGTGCAGCAGCCAGAGAGATCTTTTACATTGTAAATCAGTTCATCCCACTCCATTGCTCAGAAGGTTTCATCAGCTTCCCATTATACTCAGAGTAAATCCCTGCCATGCTTTACTGCAGCACGAGGACCTCCATGACCTGGCTTCTCTTCTCAGACCACTGCTCCAGCCATCCCCTGAACTTCCTTACAATTCCCAGAATGGATCCAGCTCACTCTCCTCAGAGGGCCTTTGCATGCTTGTTCCCTCTGGAAAACCCTTCCACCAGAACATCCTCTGGCTCTTCCTTCCCTTGAGTAATATTTTGTTCGACTATCCCCCTTCCCTGAGACCTTCCCTGACCATGCTAGCTAAAGCAAACAAAACTTCATCCTACCCTCATTTATTTTGCTCTATAGAAATCTGTATAAAATCATATGATTTCCTAGCTTTGGGTGTGTTTTGTGGTGGTGGTGGTGGTGGTTGGTTTTTGCTTACTTGCTTCTCTCTGTCTCCCCTACTACATGTGGATTCCATAAAAGCAGGTATCTTGCTTATTTCCCCCAGCACCTGACATGTATTAAGTGCTCAATAGATACTTGTTGAATGAATGAATGAATGAATGAATGAATGGATGATTCAGAAAAGAAGGTTAGATAACATCACCTCCAGAGACTCCTGTTTGCCCAGGAAGAAAGAGCCATTGTATCAGCCACCCCTGCTGGGTGGGGTTACAGAAAAGATGTGGGTTGTTTTAATTTAGCTTCAAGGTCAGGCTTTATGATTTTTTAATTTATTCATACCCCACCTCATTCCACAAAGGATTAGATGTGGCTTACAGGAAACACACAGTTCTTTAGGAGGAGGCAAAGGACCAACCAAAATCGATCATCCAGACAACAAAGTCTCATACATCCAGGGTATTTGGGGGCAAGTGTATCTCGGAGTTCGGTGGCCAAAAGCAAAAGGCACAGAACTTCCTATGAAACTAAGTGAGGATTCAAAAAGGAAAGTGGGACTGGGGCTCATGGGAAACTGTAGGTGACTCTTTAGAGGAGCTGGGCAGGAGGCCCTAGCCTTAGTTTTGGAAGGGGAGAGGAAGGGAGGGCTGGGAGGGAGGATTCACTCTGAAATTCCAGCTCTGTGAATGGCCACCCCTCCGTTTTGTCAGCAAGCTGGGCCTCAGCAAACCAGTCGATGGGCCCTCGTAGAGAACCCCAGCCTTGTCATCTCCCCTCTTCTCCCTGTGAGGGATGCATCACCCATATTCCACTCTGTGGATGAGTAAGTTGGAGACATTCAAGGCAGTTCCATTTTGCATTACCCCCTTGTATTCACAGGTATGACCTAAACTTTGTCTGAGCTTAGCCTTTAGCTGGTTCACTGTATGGGAACGTGGCAGACGATTGGAGTCCAGTTCACTTTGTGAACTTGGTTAATTACACAAGGGCCATTGTTCCAGGAACAGAGTTACTCCTCAGGATGAGCTGACGTGACGGATCTGGACAGGTCTATTTGCCAGTCATTTGTGAGGCAACTGACTGTGCCTAGTTTACTGCTTTCTGAGTTGCATCTCCCTCAATGTGGATACTGCACCAAGGGTGCACAAACCAAGGTGCCACTTCCAGGGCAGAGCACCCAAGTGCTGCAGGAGTGGCATAGGCGTCCTGTTCCTAACCCTCCTCATCACTGTTACCACACCTCTAGGCAGGCTCCAGGCCATGATCAGAGCCCTGGGTGGCCTGTCTATCTCCTCAAGGGATTACTCTGCAATGCTAATGGCCTTTCTAGACCCATTTCTCTCCGGAGGAGGTGGGTTGACTTTACATGAAGGAGATTGATTTGGATTTGCTTCTGGGCCCCTCACTCATACTCCCTTCTGGTTGGTGGCATCTGCAAATCAGGGGGGGTCCTTCTCTTGAAGAAAATCACATTCTAGAAATGCAGTGATTACAGCCTAATGAGTTTAAGAGAAGACAAGATCAGAAGATTTTTTTTCCTATGCTTTAGCTATAAAATCCCTACCAATAAATTTAACATTCTAGAGATCAAATTACTGTTTACATTTTCCTGCACACACCGGCTAAGACACCCATTTGTGGTCATCATCAAGGAGGCCAAGAACAACCTTTGAGAGGGATTGGCAGCAGGTGGCATGATGGATAATGCAGGGGCACAAGTAAAGCTATAGCCAGTTAAATAACAGTAATAGGGAATAGTGGTAAGACCTATACTGTTTACTTTTAAAACTTTATTTAAAACACCTTCAGTGAGATATTAAAAGGCCAGTAGGTGCAACAATGCTACTGTTTAATTACTAAGGGTTCCAAATCACCATGGAACTGCAAGGAGCAGCATCGTTGCTACACTTACAGTGGTTGGACTTTATAAGGGATCTTCAAGTGCACAGGCTTATTGATCGACAAGAAACATGTACACAGTTCCTGTTTTCTGCCCACTATTCTAAATCTTTAAGGCTAAATCCGATGCAGACCCACACACTTAGTAATACGTCTTAAAATTATATAGTTTCAATAGACATAGGTTTCCAAAAAAATATTTGCCTGGGACTCTGCACAACCTAAGGGCAGCCTTAGTATCTCTTCTTACCAATGCCAAGGTTGTTCCTTTGGGTTCAAGAAACAGCTGCCCACAGCCAGGTCCCAAGCCTCCCATGAAGCCATTCCCCTCATCTCCTGCAACTGGTTCTCAGTATTTGAAAAGCCCATTCTGGTGGTGATAGTCCCCAACCAAGAAGTACCCTTCCCCAAGGTCAATAGAAGTATCCACCTCTAGAGGCTAAAAACCCTCTGATACATCATTTTCCAGGCTGTTAATCCCACCATGTACCCACCCTGCTTTCTTTCCTGTCATTCCAGTTTCAAAAAAGAAAGATCCAGGGGCCATCTAGCCACCCTGTGTATGGCAAGTGTGTATCAACAAGGTTTGAAATCAAAACAGCTTATCTCAAAAACTGACCACCCTCTTGTAAGTCAGATAACCTTGGACAAGTTGCTTAACAGAAGCTTCAACTTCCTTTTATGTATAAGAACAGGTCTCTTTAGTTTGTACAAGTTGGTTTAGAATTCAGTGTGTTAACACAGACGAGCCCAGTGCAGTGCCTAGCAGGAATGCCACCTGTGCAGTGAGCATCAGGTTCCTTGTCTTCTCTTGAGCAACAGCAACTTCAATTGCTTCTCAGCAGGTGATCTTTGCCTATTTGGTTCATGAAAACCATACTTTTCCTGAAGGTGCTTTACAAATGCTGGGTTCCTCTGGGGCAGGTTCTGGTGCAGGTGCTGGGTCTCAGGATCAGATGTATAGTGACATGTGCTGAGGGAGAACAAACCCATACTGGATGATTTTCTTTTGCTGAAGCCCCCTAAGACAGAAACAAAAATGTCACTGCTAATTTGGAAGGTTAAAAGCAAAGCTCATGAAACATTCAAGCAACTGCTAATGAAGGCCCAGGGAGGAGGAC